CCTGGTAGCTGCTGTGGGACACTGTCCTCTAACTCCTGTGTCAGAGAGTTTTCGTTATCTTATCTCTGATAGGTATTTGACCCTTTAATCATGTTAACCAGCAGTAAGAATTATATCACATTTGTGTACCCTATCTTTGCACTTGAACTTCAAAATAATCCTGTGAAATGTGTAGGGCATATGACAGTGAACTGATTATCAGGAAAAAGTTAGAGGATTAATTATCTTAGTTCGCACACTTTTCTTTTTATTTGTACAATATCATGGCATCATTAATTTTTTAAAAAATTTAACAGTTAGCATCTGATGTAGAAGTGTTTTCCTGGTAAGCAGCTCTCTCCTTCTCGCATCATCTCTCAATTCTACAATTCTAAGTGTTTTCACTTCCCATGACACAGCAGTGCCTCAGGGGAGCCCATTCCTATCTGCAGTGTTTTGTAATATCCTTCTTTCACTAGTGATGATATAGCACAGATGTTGACAGATTTTCCCATGAAGGACCAGACTGTAAATGTTCTGAGAAGTTCAGGCCACGTGGCCTCTCATAACCATTCCATGTATACAATACACAAACAGACAAGGTGGCTGTGTGCCAAAGAAACTTTAAGAACACTGAAATTTGAATTACACATAGATTTCATGTGCTATGAAATATTCCTTTGACTTCTCTTACAGTCATTTGAAGGCATAAGAACCATGCTTATCTCACTGGCCTTACAAGTGCAGGGCAGGTGGCCAGCCCTGTTTGGCCTGTGACTATCAAGTGCCACCCTGTAATATAGGATCCAGCTTAGCCATCAGCCAGGATACTTTAATTAGAAGCAAACTGTCCTGAACCCAGCTTCATGGTCTATGGAATTTCACGACAGTCCCTAAGTTTCCTGCCTGTTTTTGGTGGACATTTGCTCTTCTAGCCACCTTGGCCTCTGAACTCCTTTCTGATGCAAGACCATTTTTCTACACCTCACTGAGCCTACTGGGAAATACAGCCCTCCACTGAGTGACTCAAGAAAGCATCCACCCATACAAGTCCTCTTGAACAAGTGACTTCACTGAGAATTCCAGGGGAGTAATTCATCACAGAAATCCAAGAAGTGGCTAGTGGAAATGTGACATGATATGTCACAGCTATTTTTATATATTTTTCCAAATGAAGAGTGCATCAGTCAGTACTCCCTACAGAAACTGATTTAATATAAGATCTATAAGTTTAAATGGATTTACAAGATTGGCTTCCCTGGCCACCCGCGGAGTCAGGTGTGGAAGGGTGCAATGGTCTGTCTGTGCAATGGGGATCCAAAGGACCCAGAAGAAGGCCTGGAGCTCACAGTAGTGTCCCATATGAGTTCATATCAGGAGGCTGAAGGGTCTGCGCCAGAGGTGAAGGGAATCTGATGGAAGCCGGAGAGTCTGCAATGAAAACCAGGAGATGACATCCAAGGTAAAGGCTAAGACTGGAGCTCCTCCAAAGAAACAGAAGTGAGCCTGCCTTCTGTGTTTACCTTTATACCATTCAGGGGCCAACCCACCCTAGGGTGGATCTTCTGTCTTTGATAAATCCCCTCAGCCACACTCAGAACTATGCTGATCCAAGTTATTTGGGTGTTTCTTGCTGAAATCAGTTAACTATCACGAAGGGTAAGCCTTATGGTGGTGGTGGTCATTCAGGGTCTCACTATGTAGTTCAGGCTGGCCTTGAACTCAGTTTACAACCCAAGTTGGCCTTATCTGTGCCATTCAGTATACCACCATCTAGGCCAGATAAGCCTTGAGCACTACAAAGGTGGCCAGTGAGACTGAGGAACTGAACTTCAAACTATATTTAATTTTAATAATTTACCTTTAAATCACCATATTTGGCTAATGCCATCATATTGGGAACAGAAATTTTCTACATGCAGACTGGTTGGAAGCCCTACCAGGCATTACTAATACTTGACTCCCACAACCTAAGATGAGATTGGCACCAGGCCTGCAGGGCCACTGTGCAGGACTTATTTAAAAGAATGCAGTTTATCACATGATAACTTCCAAAGCTCTCATTTTTTACTCCTGTAGCTGCAGACGGCCCCGGACTTGTGTGATTTTCTCTTAATTTCACTTCAGTTTATCCAAATGCAAAGGTTCTTTTCCCACAGAGCACATCTTTAGCCATGTTATTGAAAGGCTGTGTCTGTTACATACACAGACACAACAGCTGGCCTTCACTTTTTTTCTTTTCTTTTTTTTTTTTTTTTTTTTTTTTTGGTACCAGGGATTGAACTTGGGTCCTTGTGCTTGCAAGGCAGGCCACCAAACCGCTGAGCTGAATCCCCAGCCCAAGACTTTGATTTTTAGCTACATGAAATAAGACTTTGTACAGTAATGGATGGTGTGGTGTACAAACACTGGCTGGTGATCAGAAGTAGGGATTCAAAACTGTCCAACTCTCTACTCCATCACTTTGACAGTGTGTATTAGCCAACTCTCTGCTATGATCATAAAGTATCTGTGGTTATTAACTTATAAAAAGAAAAGCTTTACTTTAGTTCACACTTTTAGAGATTGCAGTTCATGATCAATTGGCCCTGTTCTTGGGCCTGTGACAAGACAGCAAATAATAGCTGGAGCACGTGGTGGGCAAATTATCCCCTTCTCATGAGCCAAGGATCAAAAGAGGAAGTGGAAGGAGCAGGGTCCTAGATCCCCTGCAAGATCACACCCCCAATAGCCTAAAGACCTCCCGCTAAGCCTCTCCTTTTAAAGGTTCTACCACTTCTAGCTTTGGGTTCCACCTTTGGGATCAAGCCTCTGACACATGGGCCTTTGGAGGATATTTAAGATCCAAACCTCAGCACACCCAGTTTTCATTGACATCTGTGAACTATGGGTTGTGAACTAGGTGGTCTCAGAAGGATTTATCATTATTGTCATTCTTCAATATTTTACTACAAGAATGATTTTGGTAATAGCCCTGTTGTTCCCCTCAGCAAAAGAGCTATGATAGGGCTGGGGATTTAGCTCAGTGGTTCTGGCACCTGCCTCGCAAGCACAAGGACCCGAGTTCGATCCCCAGTACCAAAAAACAAAAAACAAAAAAAAAAAGAGCTATGATAATGTCTTTCCCTGGGCCTTCAGAAATTTCATAACTGGTGGTCGTGAAATCTCTCTGTGATCCGAGTCCATCATCAGGGATAATTTAACCTTTGTATGCAGTAGGTACCAGGGTTCACCATATTTTTAAGAGTCCCTGGAAATGTTTTAATTTTAATTTATTTTAAAGTCACAAATAATGAACATCGTAGTAAAGACCATAATGATAAATGCGGCATGAATTACAATTGTCATTATACAAACTACCATAAAATATAATTTTTGTTATTTTTTAATGGAGGAAATGACCATTAAGTCATAATGTGGCCCTATCCACCGTAGGTCCTGATAGAAAGGAATTTATAGAACTTCAGGTTAGATGCATCCTAGGAGAGACTCTAAGGTTCTCCGCATGCTTGGTCCAGTAGCTGGTACTCAGTGATTACACTTAGAAATAAAGCTACATTTTGAAAGTTAAACTAATAAGCATAATGAATGAGAGTGGTAATTTGTAAAAATAATCTTAAAATCACGAATCGACTCAGAAAGAGCAAAGTTGGAATATCTGTGATATTAATCATAATAATTATTGAGAAGTACAATGTACCAGGGCTGGGCTACATGTGTGTGTGTACTGTCTCATTTAATTGCTACCACAACTCGTAAGTAATTTAGTATCATTATTACGAGCTTCACTAACTGAGGACATGTGAGCATTAGATTAACTTGCTGAATGCCACCCATTTGGTAAGTGGCAGAAAGAGGACTTGGACAGGGAGTTTTTTTGAGACAGATGACAAGAGCCTCACTGTCATTTTTCCAGTGCCGGCTGGAGGGGGTGGTGTGGCTTGGCCAGCAGTGGTCCATCCTCCCCTCTCACTTCCCCTTGTTCCCCCTTGCACCCAATGGATGGGATGGTTTGCTTCTGTTCCCTCCCTGACGATCAAGCTGCCAGTCTCCACTCCAACATGACTGTAGCCAGATAGGCAGTGTGCCGCCCTCCCACAGCCCTGCCACTTCACATGATGCTGTTGCCTTTTTGAAGAAGGGAGTGGCAACCTGGAGAGGCTAAGATCAGGCTCTGGGACCCTTATTTGCAAACCCAACATTCATAGCCACCTTTTGGCCCTGCCCCTCACTAGAGGCCTGCAGGCTGCCATATAAGCAGCACTCCCCAGCCACTTGCTGGGCTTTCGTCTAGCAGGGCGCTCTCCTATGTACTGACCCTCGGGTGCTACAGCACAGGCCCTTGTTAAAGACTTGCTTAGGTTTTCCTGTAAACCTACTTGTGATTTCTTTCTAGGCAGTGTAAACTCCAAAAGTCCCATAAATCTACTTGGGATTCTTATCCTGAATAGTGTGGACAGAATGAGTGCTTCCAAAGGAAGAACAATAAAAATTTGGAGCTGTTAACACCAAAGAGCTCCACAGACCAGCAGCCAAGGAAGACCAGCTGTAGAGATGAGCACCCAGCAGAGTCACCCAGAAGGTGGCTGGAAGCAGCACATGGTAGAGATGCTCTCCAGTGTCCCCATAGCCGGCGTCCAACAGTGATGGCCAGCAGCGGCAGTGAGCAACACCTAACTGTGTCAGCTGTTGGCATCTATCATTACCTTGTGTTATCTGGTGACATTAGAACTGCTCGCAGAGTTGGACTTCACTGATTCACGATTTCCATCTGAATTGAGCAGAAAGAACCCTAGGCTGATTGGCAAGAGTTTGATTTGGGAGAACACAATAATGCCCCCAACCAAAGGCCCTCACCTTTTGGCATTGCCTCCCTCGGTGGGAGACAGAGGGGTCTGTGTGGCATTGAGGGAGGAAGGGCAGAGGTGGGGTAGCTCCAGGTGGATTAAACCTAAACATGAAAGGCAAAAGTCGAGGCCTACAGAAGAAAATGTAATTTATTTCATGACCAAGTATTAGCATAAAAAACTTTTCAATAAGACACAAGTCAGTGGAATTACTCTGGCTGCAAATCAGCATGATTCTCAGGTATGTCACTGTCAATTGGTCTTTCATGAGAAACTCCTGGAAAAACAAAAAGCCAAGGATAGGCTAACAGAGTTGTAGAGACACAGTGAGGAAGATTTTGCCTCCTTCTTTCCCTTTGTGTCGGTCCAAGTTACAAGCCTGTTGGCTGGTGCCACCCACGTCCGGGTGGGTCTCTCCTCTTCAGGAAGTCAGGCGTCCACACACACCTAGAACCATGCCAGCCCCTTGGCTAGGCCTTTCTTCTTCATGTTGACACCACAATTACCTGCCACACAAACACACCAGAAGTTTCCTTTCGCCGTGCTGCTACTGGCTCTGAAGATTCCTGGAGAGAAAACCCTGGAAGTAATAAATCCTGCGCACAAGATTTTTCCATTCTAATAGCTTTCTAGTAATAACTACACACAAGCTGATTTAAGGTGATTTGTTTACAGCTGTTATTTCATGGGATCTTCAATGAGTTTTTGTGTTCATTAAGCGATTTATTATTCCTTTTGAGATCTTTATTAAGGGTTGGGCTAATGAGATCCTCTAGTGATTAATGTCTATATCAAACAAACCTCAACTGGTGTATTTACCGTGCCTTTGGGGGTGGTGGGATTGAACCCAGGGCTCTCACTGAGTTGTATCCCCAGCCGTGGGAGGCAGCAAGCAGGAAGGATCCATTAGGCAGTAAGGGAAAGCTTTGCAATGAGCTGTGGAGAAGGGAAGGGGTCTGAATACGCTGGACAGATTGAAGTCAAGATTTTTAGTTGACACAAAATAAGGGTAAAAATATTTTAATAAAAATATGAATCATTCTCATGGGCCAGATGGAGATTTGGAAAAAGGAAAAAGCAATAAAATTGCATCTTACGATGTGATATTTGCTTGATTTGGGATATTTTAGATGAGATGTCTGGATTCACCCCCAGGCCTTCTTCTGCAGCAGAAAGCCAGAGTTCACTTTTCTCTCCCTTCATCCTTCCACCCCACAGGAGTCCGAGCATCCAGAGCAGTTTACTCACCTGGCCGCGAGCCAGGAGAACAGCCTGGCCAAAACGAGATCCGCACGGCCTCACCGTGGGAGGGTCCCTTGGTTGTCCCGCCTGGAAAATTTGTGGAACAGTGCCCACCTCTGAAGGTGGTCATCATCTGGGCGGTCCACACACAGCACCCGACACTGGCTGGCTTCCTGGGAGTTAGCTGTCACTAAGGCCCTGTGGGATTTTACAGACAAGGACACTGGCTGTAAGACAGATTGCATAAGGACCCGGGATATAGAACCGGTGGATGGCTGGGCTGGACTCAGACCCACATTTGAGTTGCAAATCCACACACCCAACCCTGTGTTGCGCCGTCTGGTGCAGAAAGCATCCTTCTCACCCAGAGTCCTGCAGGCTTCGGCCTCCCAGCTCCCTTTGCTGTCTGGAAGCCTTTTTGTGCTTTGTCCCAAAGTCCTGGTATTGAAGGGGCTCTGCCTAGCAGCATGGGACCAGCCCTTTCTAATGGGTCATTAATTCTGACCTTTAACTCCAGGCTAGAGCATTAGGGGATTTTGCTTTGCTTTTTTTTTTTTCTCTCTGTCTCATTGAGTTTATTGGTACATCTTAGGTAGACAGTACAGTTACATTCATCATCGGGATCTTGTACCTGTACATGACAGGTCTTGGTGCTCATTTTTTCCCCTTGTCCCTGCCCTCCCTTCACCCCCTCCTCCCTGCTTCGCTTTTTTATCTAGGGGAATACTGGCAAAATTCAATCTCTGACTCCAGAGAGCCGGCGGGCAGGCCCTGGCTGAAGTGCCTGACGAGGAATCTGCACTCTGCAGCGCCTTCTGGCCTGGCCAGGCTTTGCCTTCTTCCCTCCTGCTCATCTCAGGCATCGTGGGATTCTTCAACAAGGTCTCAGTGTGTTTTGTCATCTATGACATTCTGTTCCCTTAATCTGAAGCCTTAGGAATATTCTTCTTGACACCAAAATAATTTATCTCAGCAGCTGGGCCTTTCACATCAATGAAAAAATCCAAAATGTGATCATCATTCTTGATTTTTCATAATTTTAAGTTGCTTGAAACCATTCAATGGAAACCAGGGATTCAGTTCTGAGCAAAAAGAAGTGAGATTAAGGGAGACTTCTTCAAAAACCCTCCAACTCCAACTCCTAGGAAGGAAGTACTGACACAGACACAAGGTTCCTTATCCACAATGCTGGTGCCATAAGTGATTTAGATTCCTTATTTTTAAAAATATTGGCATGTACATAATGAGATATTTTGAGGCTAGGACCTGAATCTAAACACAAAATTCATATACACTGTAGAAGATAATTTTGTGTGATGGAACCCAGGACCTCCTGTGTCCTACCCAGGCACTGAGCTACATCTCCAGCCCTGAAGGTAATTTTATGCAGTATTTTAAATAATTTTGTGCATGAAGCAGTTCATCATTGTGCACCGGCACTTTTACTGAGACCCGTTACACGACTGCAGGTGTGGAATTTTCTATTTGCAGCATTCTGTCAGTTCTTAAAAACTTGGAGTTCTGGAGCATTTGGGATTTTAGATTTTGGGATCAAGACCAGCTGTATTGTGGTAAACAATGTGATATATTTGTTTTTAATGTGAGGACGTTGGGGATCATTGTCCATAACTGTTGGCATCGCCGAGGCTAGTTTTACTCACACCCCCCAGGTTACAGCCTCGGCAGGGCAGTAGCTGTAAACAGAAGGCAGCAGGTCTCTCCTGAAGCAGGATTCTCTTGGATTTTCCCAACACCCAGGACAGGCTGGGTCTTCCGGTGGGGCTCCCAGGACTGCTGCTGTTCAAACAAAGCTACCTCAGTGCCTTTTTCAGAGGTGTTCTATCCTTCTGGGGGAAGAAAAGGCATTCTGAGCCCCTGGTTCTCGCACTGTGTCTGGCAATGGTAGGCATTACATAAATATTTGTGGGCTAAATAAAACCCCTCCGTGGGCACACAAAGGAAAAAATACTCTTCCAATTTATTATTAAAGATAGCACATTTGTGCCCAAATGCAAATGAATTTTTAAAACCAGTCATTTTTGCCGATAAATGGGAAACTTTAGTTTGACTTTCGCCAAGTTAAGTTTTTTACCAGATGATTCTATAAAGACTGGACACTGACTTATTGGAAATAATACAGAAAAAATATACAAAAACACCATTATGATTTCTTTTTTCCCAATGCCCTACCTCATGTTCTAGCCTTGTGGTGTGGCTTTGTTCTCTTAAATCCATCATTGTGCTCACGCCTTAGTGCCTTTGCATAAGCTGGTCCCTTGGTCACTAGTGTCCTTTGCACACTCTACCCACCCCAATTCCATCAAGTACCAAACTCACAAAGCACTCTGTTAATCAGAATTAATCTTTCCACAGACTGTGTTTGTCTACTTCCTAATTATAAGCTCCACAAGTAGGGGGACTGTGGGCAAACTCTTTGTGCCCCCCAACGTCCCTGACTAATAGTTGTCTTACAGCGAATGCTCCTGCATTTTTCCCCACAGGCTCCACTTGTAGCAGAGGATATAGACTTTCAGACTTCTCCAACATGGAAATTCTTTGAAACTTGCTTTACCTTAAAATTCACACGAACTTTACATTCAACTCCATATCAAACAATATTGGTGATTCCGGCTTAAAAATATTTATCCGGACTCCTAAGTAAAATTTAGACTCCAGAAACTGTCACTGCTTAACCAGGGAGACCTCCAGGCACCTGGCCCTCAGGACACACATTCCTCGGGAACAGTGGGACCTGGGAGTTTTAAAATGTTTGTTGAATTGAATTTAACAAATTTAATGAAATAGAAAGGGAAGCCTTTGTTCTAAATGCCAAATAACTGAAAAAATATAGTCAAGATAAAGAGAAGCAGCTTATCTCTAAGAAGCCTGGAATGGCATTTCAGAGACTTGTTTAAAATAGCATAAGCCCCACAAACTCATTTCACTCCTGTGTGCCAAGGCCTCCCCTCTTGTTCCTCCCATTTTCCTGATCAGCTTGGGAACCTAAAAGAGCCAGCTGCTCTCAGAACCTAGGGGAAGGGAGACTGCTGCCTGGTTTCCACTGTTTGGCTATTTTAACCTTGGAGCTCTGGATGCATGATTCTTTTCATGATTACATTAGGAAAAAAGCTATATAAGCTTTGAGCTGACATCTAGAATTAATAGCTGAAGAGGAAATAAAATTCAATTTTAATGGACATGCCTAATAGAGGTGTATAAAATGGTCTAGGTCTGAGGATTTAGCTCAGTGGCACAGTGCCTTCTCGTAAGTGCAAGGTCCTGAGTTTGATCCCTGGTACCATAATAATAATAATAATAATAATAATAATAATAATAATAAAAGTCTAGAAAATAACACATTAATAAAAGGCATCAAGTAAATAGCTGAATTTGAATATGTGAAAAAAAAAACACCCCTAATTGTTGCCTTCTGCTAAAATAGATATTAAAGCTAAAGGGCTTGAAATCATTCCCTAAACTGCATACCTATGGCCCAAAAGACTCTAAACACTTCCCAAAAGATATAATTCTAGGGTAACGTAATAGCAATGGAATCCAGCATGACAAAGAGCTCTCTGGACTGGGGTGGGGGCAATGCATTCAAGAAAGAACAGAGGACGCTCGGCATGTGACCATCTTCCAAGTACAGTCCAGTCCCCGGTGCCCCAGCAAGATGCGACTTGTGTCCTTCACGCCCTTTACACAGCCTAGCAAGAGCCACGGCAATCTGTTGAACGGAGAGGGGGAAATTAGACCACGCTAAAAACTGCAGAATAGGATTTTCTATCTCTGTAGCTCCTACATTCTTGTATAATGGAGTCCGGTATATTAAAGGCAAGTTTTAAAACAGTACTTTTATAATTTTCTCTGCTTGAATATTTGCTTGTTTTGTTTCTCTTTCCTTGTCTGCTCATAAAACCCACAAAGAGACAGGATTTTCACTATTCTGGCTTTGACGTGTAGGGGAACGCCCGGCACTGGCCCTTTCTTATTGCTTCACAAACTGCACCCCTGCATGGGGCTCTCGTAAACGGCCATTGTGTCGTTTCCAGCTTGGCTGTCTTTCTAGTCCTGTCTTGATTCTGAGTATTCTCTGTTGCACTTGGCTGCAAACTGTGTAGACGCAGTAAAATCACTGAAGCGGGAGGAGCTGCCCGCCAGTTGTTCCCGCCCGGCAGACCGTATCCAAAGGAAGCTGGAGGAAGCCAAGCTATTTCAGGCTCATTGCAGAGGTGCACGCAGGCTTAACCCACCTCACTACAGACGGAGCTCGCAGTGGATCCCTTTTGTCTTAGCATGGGAATGAACACACACAGGAAGCTTATTTAGCCCCCACCTCCCTCACCGACTTCCATGATGAACGCTGATCTTATTTTCCCGGATCCAAAATGACGAAATCACTGGCCAGCTATCTTTGCCCATTCTGACTCCCCAACAAATCTTCAACATTTTATGTTGCATTCTACTTAAGGATTAGGTCTGCGAGAGCTTTTCGATTATTATTAGACCCCACGTGTGGAGGTATTGCATTATTATGAGCCACTAACTCATTCATAGGTTCATTTATTCATTATCCATTTGATATGTATTAATGTCACATTTGGTATTTTTCTGAGAACTTGAAGGGGAAAGGTTAGGTATTAACATATAAGACTGTTTTTAAATTGTCAAACTTCATAAAATACTGTATCTGAAAATGCTTCTTTGTTTCAATTGATTTATTCATTCACAAAATGCTAGACACTTACTGTGTGTAGGGAAGCCTTGTGCTAGGAATTGGGGTTTCACAAAGAATTAGCCCCGACTCTCTAGGAGCTCACAGTTTAGTAAAGAAATAATAGATGAGGCAACCCCCTCCCTGGCAGCCTCACAGCAGATCTGGAAGCAATAAAGGAGCAGAAACCAGAGAAAAGAGAAACACTCACTCAGAAATGGCTTAGGGTGTTGAGGGAGGTTGAAAAATTGCAGTTCTTGGGCTGGAGATAGTGAGAAAAGTGACCAGGAAAATGTGAAGAGGACTATAGATGTGGAAGGCTATCTGTGCATGGTCTTGTGCCTAGACTTCATCCTTTCCGGGTGGGAAACCCCAGCTTTATTTCTGCTAAACAATTTCAAGTCAAATCAAAACTTTCCCCTGTACTATAGCACGCCTATGGTGGTAACCAGCGCAACTCATTCTGTGGTGAGAGGTCAGGGCT